TTATCACCTCCTCACCTTTGCTACGAGGATCCCATAGTCTGATATGTCTGTCAGTACTCCCGGATGCCAGACGTCGACACAGAGGTGAGTAAGAAATGGAATTAAACACTTTGTTTCCTGTCTGTCAAAAACAAACAAACAAACAAAAACCTTTAAAAGAGGAGCTACTGGTTGGTTTTGCATAGTTATTTTTGTTTAAGGTGGACATCAGTTGAATATAGGAAGTACAGTGATCTCACCAAAGTTGATTTGAGACCCCCAGTCTCAGCATCCCAGAACTTAATGGTGTGGTCCCACGATGCACTGCAGATTTCTTCAGCATCTGACCAGAGCACAGAAGAGATGGCTTCTGTGTGGCCAGAGAGGGTTGCCAGGGGAGTCTAGGATTTAAAAGTGAGAATAAAGTGAGCATAATTAACACACCTACCTTTCAGTAAATAAAAATGTTTGATCTACCTCAGACATATCACCAAAGATTTTTTTCTTGTATAGTAACTATTAACAAGGAGAAATCATATTCTACGGCTGCACTTCACGATCTCCTACAAGCCTGGAGCTCATCTTACCCTTGTTAGTCCCAACTGTTCCGTTTTCTGCTTCTTCCGTGGTCTGTTAGCTGCTTCTTCCATTTCATCCTCTTCATCTGTAGGGACTATGAAAGAAGACAGACTTGATCTAGAGGTTTCCACACAATTTTTAAGACAATCCTTCCTGATGGGAAATCCCAACAGTAATTCAAGTATGTGGTAAAGACAATCTTTCCTTCAGAAATAGCATCCATATAAATACTCCTAAGCCACAAGAGCATATCTTGTAACAGTAAAAAAACAAAAACAAAAACATTCAAACGAAAAAAATTAGTCTATGTTACTAGAAAAGACCTGACCATCTTACTTTGTTACTTCATACTACATGTTCATATTACTTCATACTATGGTGTTAACAGACCAGAAAAATAACCCATAGGCCTTTGCTTTACAGTCTATACTCAAACCTGCATTTTATATAAACCCATCAAAAATAAAAGAAATGGACACAAAGTTTTGTGTTCTAAATAAAATAAACAGCAGCAGGCAGTTCAACGCTATACCTGAAATTGTTACCAACCAAAACAGTGACTTAAGATACTGTTTACAGTCTTGCAAAGCTATTGCAAAAAAAAAGAAAAAAAAGAAAAAAAAGAAAAGCAAAAGTTATAACTTTTATTAATAAATACCAAATTTTCTTAAAGAAAAAGGTTTTCAGGTATATTCCATCATTCAGGTTATTGTTAGCACCGTTCTGAACATGGCCAAGAATCTCAGCTTAGACTTACCTGCAGACCAAATCTTTAGCATTTTATCCCAAGATCCACTGCAGAACTGAACAAACAGAAATGTTTTGTTAACAGTTGTTCCTGACAGACCTCACAAGCCATACCAAGCACAGTTTCTCCTTGAAAAATTAACCAATGGATTGTAATACATAACAAACAATTCTGCACCCCTCAAATGGGACCAAAAAAAAGGTACAGATCAAATTACTCCTTTTCCTACCCCTGCAGGAAGAGTATCTATAAAATCTCTCTTATCACCAGTACTTTTCACCTGTCTGATAGAGACAAGATGAGAAATGCAACTCTACCTTTGGTATGAATGCTTCTAAGTGTTCAAGTCCTGCAGAAAGAGAAAATACCTCTTCCACTATCAGCTTCTTCTGAGTGTTTCTCTAGAAATACTTTTTCTGATCCAAAATTACTGTTGTAATTCATTATAACACACATTCATATGTGTAAAATGCAAGGTTTCCTTAAAAGTAAACTTTAACTTCACTCTCAGAAATCAAAAGCAGCACTGTTTAAAGCCACTTTCAGCCTTCTGTGGTACTGGAATAAGTGGATGTCTTTATTTGAAAAGAAGACCTGGTGTTCGTGCAGCACTCCTAGATTATCTTAGTAACCATAATTTCTAACAGGAATAGAAATGTATCTATGTCAGTCACAATAATATCATGACTGTCACTAGACAGGAAAAAGAAAGTTTCTTTTGAGTTACAGGTTGCTAACATCCCAAAATCCAAAGATTTTCTTCAGGGGGTCACTCACTTTAGTCCTTGTGCAATCAACTGCCACAGAGTCTACACTCCCAGCATGTCCTCTGCAGCAGTGAAGGGCTTTCACTTTGTTCTTCTCCACGTTCCACTCCCAGAGGAGGATAGTTTGGTCCATAGATGCACTGATTAACAGGCAGGATAAACTATCTGAGGAAGAAAGAAGGCATGTTCACCCTCAACTTTGCTTTCAAAAATATTTATAGGAATTGTTATAGTTGAAGAAATAGTAGATAGAAACCCTATCTACCAGTAATGTGATGTTCACATCATGTTACCCTGCAAGTAAAACTAATACAAGTAAGCCTGGAAAGGTGGTAGACAATGTGCATGTTAAACTACTACATTCATTACTGTTAATGGAATGTCTTAATGGCACCATTACTTGGTTTAAAAACAAAAAACAACTGATAGGGACTGACATAATATCTTGACTTCTGGACACGGTTGTGGGCAACCTGTTCTAGGTGTTGCTGCTTGCATAGGGCAGTTGGACCTCAACCCTTCATTCCTCAAGATTGAGAAATGCTGACACTTCTCTCCCAATAAATTGAACTATTATATACTGACCTTGCTTCACCCATGCCACATCCTTCACTACTTCTGTATGCCCAGCTATTGTCATGATAGATTTTCCTTCTAAAGACCAGATTCGGGCAGACTGATCATAGCAGCCAGTTAATATCCTGCAAGACACAGAATTTAACATAGTTATTTTTGAAGCTTTGAAGTTATCTTTGTTTCAATGAAACAAGAAATACAGAAGAATATGAACATAGTATCTGGTTACCTGAAATGACTTTGTTAAAAAAAAAACTGTGCAAAAAAAAAAAAAAGAAAAAAGAGCAAAGCTATGAGTGCGGGACAAAGAATAGCAATGGTAGTACTGCACATTCTGGTTGTGAGTCTTAAATTACCTTTTAAATGATGTACAAAATGTTGTTGTTCATAGTGTGTTAACAGGTGGATCCTGAAGCATTTTCAAACCATATGTTAGTACAGAAACATGGGCTAGTTGATTGGAAAATTAGTTTTAAAATACATTGCTTAAGGACAATTATATGCTTTAAAGAAAAGCCCTGCACAAAGCTATGCAGTTGTATTTGCTGCTGTACACCCATCCCATTTGAAGTCAAAAGGATTTAAGATTTAAAATAGATACATCTTGCTTCCTTTCAGAGATGGTAAACGGTATTTGTATTACCCATTTCTACTAAGAGTCCTATGTTGAAATATTTGTCTGGTTCTGTGCTGACTTCAACACAATTTCTGAGGTGTTAAAACTATAAAGTGCTTACAAAAGCAAACAGCTGTTGGACTTGATAGGCTAAAACGGAAAATCAAGTCAAAAGCAGAGCAGGGAGAAAATAACAGTTTAGTAAAGAAACAGAATAGCACTCCATTTAACACCATGGAGTCCTGTGCATATGTCAGGAGTAAGAAAGAAAAATCGTAGAACTGGTTTAGTGTGGTACCATTCTTCGGTGGCCTGAACAGAGCTGATCCAGTCATCGTGGAAGATGCACTCCTCGGGCTGCGGGGCCATGTATTTCTCCACATACTCGATTTCCACCACTTCTTCCTGAGCTCACAAACAAAATATTTATTTAGTGTGCTTTTATTTTTCTTAATAACAATCATACTTTAATTGCAGTGTGGTGCAAAGGTACAAGTGTTTTGGGCAGAGATATTGGCACCAACAATTCCGGGTTAGTGGACCTACAGCTGTCAGGTGAGTGATGTTGCTTTCTCTATAGCTGTAGCAAATTATGGTTAATAGCAAGCTGACAGCAGAAGCTATTATATTCACTGTTATCGCGTTCCTCTTCTGTATCTACTACTTAAAACTGGTGTCTAAAATATAATTCATAGGGTACGGCTTTCGCGAGGCGATACTAACTTCCCCCTCTGCCCTCAACTTAACTGCTGTTGCAGGGGCCTCAACACGTGTGAATGATGAACTTAAAGCACGGTACAGAGACAAGAGCTCGGATAACGGTGTTCCGTTGTCCAGAGCTACTAATCTCACACTCTGTCGTTATTTTGCCGTTCAGACTGAGTTTAAACTTGCGGGGACTTCTGGGTCACTCAGAAAAGCAGCCTCACCGTGGAGATGTTCTCCATCTCCATGTGCGTGACCAGCGGCACGCGCAGGAACTGGCCCTGGATGAGGAAGTCGAACTCCACATATTTGTGGTCCGCTGAAACAAAGCAGAGAGCGTTCCCTTTGAGGATGGGCGAGGGGCCCCGCGCCGAGTACCGAGCTGCTCCGGGCCGGGCCCCTCCCGCGGCACCTACCGGCGCGCGCCGCCAGCAGCTTGTTGATGAGATGACTGAGGTCGGCGGTCTCGGAGGCCGCGGGCACGGAGAACGGAACGTCCTCTACGGCGTACCTGCGGGTACGGTCCCAGGGTTAGCGGTCCCATCCCGTAACCGACCCCCTGGCCCGGCCGCGCCGCCTCACCTAGGATTCTCGGCGCGGAACCTCGCGGTGAGCTGCGCCATGCCGGCACCGTCGCCCCCAGCAGCCCGCGCGCCGTCGCGGAGCCCCTCCCGCCGCCGGGCACCGCGCGTGCGCTGAGGGGCGGCCTCCATGGCGGCGCCGGCGGGAGCCCGGGCGAGGTGGGGCGGGAAGGGCGCGGGGCGGGGGAGGGGCGCGGTGTCCCCGGCGGAGGGCGGTGCCCCGCGCCTCCCTCGCCGTGAGGGGCGGCGGTGAGCGGGGCCGGGGAGGCGAAGGAGGCGAGGCGCGGGCGACAGCCGCCGGCCTGCCGCGCCCCGCAGGAGGAGGCGCGGGGCGCCGCCGCAAGGGTCCCGCTTTCGCGCCTCCCGCCGTGCGGGCTGGGGTGTCCGTGAGGCGGGCCTCGTGTGAGGCGGGCGCCGCGTTGCCCCTCCGGCGTTACGGTGCCGTGAGCTGCTCCCGCACCTGCCGTGAACACCCGCTATGCGTTCGTTCGCCTGGTTGTAACTTGTCGCTGGGGGCGTCGCCATGCCCTCACCGACCCGTTACGGCGTTACTGTCTGTGACTCGCGCCCTGTGTGGGGGCTGACCTGCTGACCTCAGGGGCAGCTCTGGAGGGAGTGTTTAATTGTGGTAAGCCTTGCGATTTTAAGTCTTTTCTTAAGACCTTTGCGTTATTTTATAATAACAATCGTGGAGCAGCAAGGCCTCCATCCGTACAGCCGAAGTACAGGCTGACGGCAGGACAGGCAGAATTGCTGTTAGCAGTGCTGCAGGCACGGATTTGTACAATCCAGCTTTTTTTTTTTTTTCCTTTTTTTAACGGTAACACACTGAGGTGCCTGAGGAGATTCCCATATGTCAGTGCAATCCAACATGCTTCTTGTCACTGTGAGTTCATCTCTTTTGTTTTTGTAATGCTTCAGCTTTCTTTCTGAGACTGATATCCACACTGTTGTCTCAGCGTTAAAAGTTAGATGTGGGGCTTCAGGATGCAGCACTTCTCAGGGCCTCACGGCTGGGGGCAGAGCAGCACCCACTGCTGAGAGCACCTGGAGTGCTGTCCTTGGGGCGGATGTGTCTGCGGTCTGCTGCATTATGAGGAGGAAAGGCTTGGAGCAGCTGGGATCTGCCTTTCGTAGAATCATAGAATGTTTGGGTTGGAAGGGGCCCTTGAGATCACCTGGTTCCAACCCTGCTGTTGTAGGCAGGGACAATTCTATTTAGACCGGGTTGCTTGTGGCCCCGTGCAGCCTGGCATTGAATGCTTCCACAGCCTCCCTGGGCAGCTTGTTCCAGTGTCTCACTACTCTTACAGTATCAAGCAATCCTGAGCAACCAGCGCATTTGTCTCTGGCACTGATTTGCTGATATCAATGCTGTAGGCTGGACTGTAGTGCATTATGTTGGCTATCTTGAAAATCCTGTCTATGAGACTGCCGTTGATGCTCTGGTGATGGAGTTGTGCTTACCTGTGTGTACTATGCTTCGTGGCTGCTTACCCTCTTCGTGGAGTTGGACTGAAGTGGCCGCAGATATTGCTTTATTTGAAGCAGAGCATTCCCTGTGGGGCAGGCAGGGTAAGGGAAGCGGCCCTGTGGGGTTCAAAACGCTGGGCTGGGAGTGGCCTAGGGCTTTCTGGGGAGTGCTGCCACTGTTGCTCAGTTCTGCACTGACTTTAAGCACTACATCTCCCCTGGGCTTCCTGGTAAATATGTGTTGCTGGTGCGTTCTGTTTGAAATTGTTGTGTACAACTTTTAGGAATAGATAGCTATGTATTATTTACTCATTTATGTCAAATATCCATGAATGGATCTATACACAGGAAACCATCTTATTTGAGGAATTTGTCAGTAATACTTATCTAGTTGTAAAGCATATTAACTATGTATATGCTTTTAAGCATGCATGTAAATATATCTCTCTAGGATGAAAAAAAAATCATCTTTCTGTTTGGGATTGCACAGAAGTGAGGTTTATGAAGCCTGAATGGTTACACCACAGAGTTCATTCCAGGGTGGTATGCATGCCCCGATTTCCCTGGGTTAGAGCAGTGGTTAGACAAAGCTACCAAACAGAAACAGACTGAGGGCTTCTTTAAAACACAAAGGTACAATTTGAGGCACAAGGTGTTTCTGGGCTGTTTATACCAGGAAGCCAAAAGACTATCACTGTGTATTTGCTCTATGGCTATCATTTTTGTTTGGGCTTTATTAACCAGCCTGTGAAGTGGAGAACATTGCCTGCTTGGGCTGCTGGTTCATCCTTGTGCAGCTGTCCTGGTGCTCTGGAGAAAGGTTGCAGAGCACTCAGAGCATGCTGTTGTTCTCTTCAGGTTACTTCTAAGAACTGAATCTGCTGCCTCAGCTAAACTGACGTATCTTGACATCTTAGTTGGGGGGAACTGGTTGAGTGATGTGAGTGATAATGAAATCCAGCTCTGACTGGTGTGTTTTTTTTTAATATATATTTTTTTCTTCTGCTTTCAGTATGCTTTATGTATTTAAATTGAAATATCTCGTAATTGCTTTCAGATCCAAAGCTCCAAAATACTTAGTAAAAGTTAATAACTTTATTTAGAGCTTGGTTTGGAATATCCTCACTTGAAAATTGAATGGAAAATTAAATCTGCTTTAGATTAAAGTATTTATTCTATTAGACATATGAGCAGCTTCACTTCACATTGTTGTTCATACTAGCAGGATGCTTTATTCATTTTCAGAAGCCAAGATGCAAGTTTACTTTGACTGTAGTCCTTGTATTTTTACAGAGCAAAACACATTTGTGCTTCCAGGGCAGTACAGCTCTTTCCAAAAGGTTTTCTAGCTTTTTACATTCTCTTCAATAAAGCTGTAAATGGTTGAGAAGCCACAGCCAAGGTGGTCTTACTGAAGAAATTGTCTGTATTGTGAAGAATATAAAGCTGTTAACATACTGCTGCTTGTCTTCAATATAAATACTGGAGGGAAAAATTAAGTGCCTTTCTCCATCCTCCACCCAAACTCTAGGAATTGTCTCCTCTTCACTTTGGCATGTTGTGTATGTTCTGGAATATATTACATGCTTTAGTAAACGTCAGGGCTGGGTGAATTTGTCATTTTGTCGAGCTGCTTATAAATATTTGGGACTGGTCACTCTTTAAAGGCTGTGCTGTTTGGATCCAAGCCTTAAACTGTGGCTGTGGCAGTTCACTGTCTAATATTCTCTGTTTGCTCGCAGGTTTGTAGTGGGCTTTTCTTTGGGATGAGAGATAGATCTCCCAAGTGCTGGGAGCTCTGTTGTTCTGTCCTTCATCTCTTGGTTCACGCCAACCTTTCTTTCCAAACATCTGCTGTTTTTCCTGCCCAAAGCTAAGAGCTGCGGGCTAACAACAGTAACTGCCTGTCATTTAAATGTTGCTTTTTACTTCTTCAAAACAAACTCAATATGCTTCAAGATGGCTGCATGACAGATTTGGATAATTGAAGTCCTGTGTGTTATTATGGAAGGAGGTGACTAATATTTTCATAAAGCAGCGCTGGTGTATCTTTAAATATCAAATATCTCAGGATGTGAGGAGATTAGCGCTTGTGAACTGGATGCAAAGCAGAAGAGTCGTTGTATGGCTTATCTGTATGTGCAACAAGTCGGGCAAATTGTCTCACACAAGGCACTAAAACAGACTCCTGGAGCAACATGCTGACATTTTTCTGCAGTGAATAATAAAGTGATAAAGAAGCAAGGGTCTTTATCTTGAGGGATTTGTTGTGAGCGGGCAGCAGGGCTGGAAATTGTCAGGCTAGATTTTTAAGACCAAAAAAAGCCTGCAGCAGTATCTTGGTTCAGCCGAAAGTACTGAAATGGTTCTGTAATTTTCCAGGTCATCTTGTAATGGAAGAAAATGGACCGTGATGTCGTTATGGAAAGATCTCATGTTTTGTTTGTAGGCAACCTCAGCAGCACTGGGCAGTCAGAAATGTGCAGTCAGGGTTTCCAGATGAAATACAAAAGTCCTGGTTCTGTAGGGGCTTTTGCATCATCTCTGATTAATTTACAGTTCAGTATCACATCAGTTTATTTATTGTTCACTTTACACATTATCTGTCCTTAATAAGAACAGAAATTCCTTCTGTCTTGTTCTTGTGCCATTCAGTTTTGAACTGCTGAATATTTGGATGCTGCATGTCATGATGGTAATTGTATTTCCTAACTCCCGTTACTGCGCTGCAGAAATATTTCATTGTGACAGTGGAATTCCTCATTAAAATAACGCTTGGTGTGTCTCAGTGTAGAAGGAGTTCAGATCACTTGAAACGCGGATCAGATTGCTCAGTCACTACGTGTCATGTGTGCATTTGTATTTTCAGCATGACAGTGGAAAATAGAAATGGGACTTGCGGCTCCTTGCATAGAAAGACATAGAGCACCGCCTGAGCATAACGTGTTTCCTGACCATTCAAACGCTCTTTTTTGTTTTTAAAAGTGGCAGTCTCTGCTTGGGATTGAGTTTTACTCTTTTTCCTCTGAAAGCGTGTGACCTGCATGGCTTCCAGGGATCCGTCACTGGGACAGAGCGACTCTCCTGCAGCCTTGCCGATCGCCGTGCGCCTCTTGGGCAGCTCCGCGTCCTCAGCTGCGCCTGCGCGGCCGCCTCCACCTCTATCCACAGAGGAGCTCCACCTGCTCGAGCCCAATGGCCAGGCGCTCTGCGAGCTGCAGCCCCTCGGGGCGTCCAGTGCACACATGGTGAGTGCTGCCCAACAGGGCAGGTGGTGAACAGGCAGGTGATGGAGCCCTGTGAAGGACCCCTGAAAAAATGCAGAGCTTTTCTTATGTCTTGAGCAACAAGGTGAAACTTTTCCATGCTCCAGTTCATGCTCCTGTCGCTCTTCCTTAAGTCGGGAGATTCTACCTCCCGCTGTACTCATTTTATTAAAGAGCAGCATTTGTCATTACTTAGCATTTGTTCTCATGTGGTGAGATCTCATGCTGCTACCACTGCTGCTCTCTCTATATCTGCTGGATTCGTTTCTTTTGTTTCATAAGGACTGGGATATTAGCAAGAAGCCAACCCATTCTGTCAGTCCTTTTGTTTTGAGTTACTTTGCTGGAAAACCTTGATTTATAGTTCTTAGGTGTCTTGTTACAAAGTAAGTGTTCTGTCACTTAAGGATTGTGGTTGGCACGTGTTGCACTGTCATTTAAAGGCACCTCACCCGTTTGAACTGTAGTAAATCAGAATCGAGGTTATATTTTCTTCTGTCTGCTTTTGCGTAAAATGCTGCCCATAGAGCTCAGTTTCTCAGGGGTAAGATTGAAGGCTTTAACATGTTATGATTAATTCTACTAGTTTGTGAATGGGATTGCAACGATTCCAACAATGAATGGTCTTTGAGTTCTTTCAGTTTCAAATAAATGTGTAATTCTTTGTAGAATCCCCTAAGGTGTTGTTTTTTTTTTTTCCATCTCCTTTAAAGAGCTAAGGGGTTTTTATATAAGGTGGAAAACAGTTTTAACTAATGAACAATAAATAGGTGGTTTTCTTAATATGTAAATTCAAGTTAACTTATAGACTGTAATTCCAGCCAGAATATTTCCTGTTCTAATAATAAACATAACTGATCGACCTGCATCCTGATTACTGCGGCAGCTAGCATCACTCATACTTTTGTGTGATCACCATACAGATGATTGTTGCCAGCCAGTCAGAAAATGGCCAGGTGCTTCATGTCATTCCTTCTGCCCAGCCAGGAATGGCCCAGGTGATAATTCCTCATGGTCACCTTCTGGATGTCACTGGCACTCAGGGTGAGTTGAAGCTGTGGGACGTGAGAACTAAATGTATCCTTTGTGATTCTTCTAATTTCTTTATTTTTTTAATGAATCTCTTGTTTGTATGCTTCCTTTCCTTGCCAATCTTAGAAGACCAAAATTCGTACTTAAATGATCTGTTTCGATTATGAATGTGGCCCACAGCGTTTTCTGTTGGACAAAGCACTGTGAAATAAGGGTTATTTTGCTCACTTTAGATGTGTCATGGGTAAATTGAGAAGTCAAGGACAAAGCTGCTTGTCTTATTTACCATTAATAACTATATTTGTGCTACATCAGAGAACTATCATCAGCTTCAAGTTTTTATTATCTTCTTGATTCATTTTTGAGTTGAAGAGTTAGTTCAAGGAATACAGAGAAGAGAATTCATGTTCTGGTCTGCACCAGAGACCACATTTGGCAAGGCATCTTTTGTGAAGCCAGAAGTAAAGTATTAGGTAGAAATTCAGTTCCCCATGAAGCGAATGGGTTCTAACTTTTGTTTTATTGCCAAGATTTTGCCCTCAGTGTGTAAAGTGCTGCATCCTAAGTGTGTGCTGAGGTGTGCAACTACAAGCACAAATTTTAAGCTCATCTTGAGGAGCACTCGTTATCTATCTGTAAGCCAGGCTGGATGGCTAAAGGGTATGTGCTAGTTTGCATTCACAGAATAAAACTGAGAACTTAGTTGTCGTGTTTTGTCAGAGTCTGAAAAATACGTTAAACTGTTCTGTATTTTCTGGAAGAAAAAAAAAAAAAAAAATAAAAAAAAAAAAGAAAAATCTCAAATATTGAGCAAATTCTCCAAATCTGGGTACTGCTTGAGCATTCCTGTGGAAGAAGAGATTAAAGATAAGACTAATGTTTGGGCTTCAAGTTGTCAGTCAGCCTTTTTCACTTAAGGCTGGAATATGATTTCAGGATCCTACATTGAACGTGTGCTCCTGTGCTAATGCTTCTCGTTCTTTCCTCCCTCCCTACCTGCAGGGGTGAGACCACTGTTTAGTTAGCATAGTCTTATATGAGTTCACGCTGACAGTGAACCTGCAGGTTCTGAAGAATTGCTGCTACTTTTTATAGGCAATAATTTGTAACACTTAATAGTATTTTTGCATTCACATTTTTCATCCTATGTGGTGCTCCCTGTGCGCATAGATCGTTTTTGCAGTGTTTGAGTGCAAGTTCTATAACAGTACTACTGATTTTTTTTCTTTTTCAAGGAACTTACTATGTAAAAGACTTTGTAGTAGTTTGATCTTTGAAATGCCATTAGGAAGACTTGTCAAAGATTAAAGGGGAAGGAGAATAGAGTGTAAGAACTTGAGTTTCTCTTACCTGCAGGTAGTGGTAATAGATAAAATGGCACAAGCTTCAGAGCAGAGCTTAGGCTTTTGGGAGTGTGCTTGTTTAGAAGGAGCCAGAGCTCCAAGCTTTGAGCCTGAGTGATGTCTCTCTGATACACACATTCATGAATCTTCTGACACGTAGTGGAAGTGCTGAGTCATGGCCTGAAACAGTGATTGTGCACCTCGTAGGAAGGCAGGGCCAATCCAGGGGAGCTCAGGTGCATGCGATGCAGTGCAATGCAATGCAGTGCACTTGAGTGACCAGAAGGGGTCGAGCCCGGATCGGCTCCTACACAGACCTCATTTAAGGGCTGTCAGGGGGAGGCAGTGGTATCTCGCTGGAGATCCCTGCCTACCTTTGGAAGGTAAGCAGCTTTTTTGCCTTCATTTCTGTCCACGGCTGCTGCTTTTGGGTTTGTCCTCATTTGTTGCAGCCAAAGACTTTGCCACCCTGCTATTATTGCTATAGTTTCCATCACATTATAGCATTACGTGATAGAAGCTGTCTAGCGGGCTGATTTCTGTACTGAGTCAATAACTCACTTCTCTCTCTCTGAATTGGGGAAAGAAGCTTCCATAATTGAAGAGCAAAAATCCTGTATTTAAAGAGATGTCTGTTTTATTTATGCCAATGCCAAAATATCAAATATCTGCTTTCACAATTTTCCTTTACTGTATTGCCTACCTATATGCACGGGCTTCAATACAATGCTGTTTTCTGGCTTACAGATTGCTTCCTGGCTGAAACATTTGTTGTAATGGTGCGTCAAATTCAGTTACCAGAGAGACCTCACCTCTCTCACAGTATCAGAAAACAGACAAAAAAAAACAGAAAAGGAAGTTTTGCTTGTTCAGGTGTTCTTTCTAATGACAAAGTAGTATCATAATCTCCTTTCTTATTTTACAAGCAACTGCTGTGAGATTTGCAGCAGGATAAAATAGGCAATCCTATATGGATTTGCGAAAATGTAAAACAGATTTTAAAGTTCTATTTGTTTACTTTGTTATGGGGTCATTAGCAGTAACACAAATATCAAAGTCTCTAAATACAAACAGCCCTATCAAGTGTGTTTTCCTTGAGCTGCATCTCTCCGTAGTTTTTCTTTTGGACATACTCTTATTTCATCATTCAATTTTTGCATGTTGGAGAAACAAACATTTTATTGTAGTTTGTGATTGCTCTCACTCTATCTCCACATGTTAACCGGGGCATGTTTTATTTTTATAAAGATGCTTCAGAAGAGAAGTGTGATGATGGGAACTTGCAGACTGTGGCAGTGGCTGCTATAGCAGACAGTGCGAGCAGTTACATTCTCCATCCACAAGCATCTCTCACCATATCAAAAAAATCAGCAACCAGGTAGGTCAGGAGTTGAAGAGCTTAAGAATCATTTTGATCTCCTGCTAATACTGCTGAGTTTTCTTATACCTATATACTTTTATATATCAATTAACAAAACTTCTTAAGTTAAAATAGTTCACTTATTGCTTAATTCTCTTTGAAATCTAATTTTGTACCCTTGCTAAATGTTGCCTAGTATTCTAATTGTGAATACTGTGGGATTTTTGGTGCCCCCCCCCCTCCCCCCCCCCGGAAAAAAAAAATTCCTTGTTTTATGAACTGTGGGTCTGCCTTGTATTGGTTTATACTTCTTTGAAATGGAGAAGTAGAAGAGATTAGAATAATCCTGGCACTATAACACAAATTATATATATTCAAGCAACATTTAAAATGAAGTGAAATGCTCTGTGCATGGATGTCACAAACAGTTTGTGTTACAAGAATGATCCTGGAGAGGAGACACTTTTTGTACAGACAGGAGGTAATGCATTTGGGTTTTGGAATGATTGATGTCTTAAGCTGCTGCAAGCATGCATTGTTTCCATTCCAGAATTTAGGGAGTAAAAGAAGTAGATACTGACTTCAAATAGTTATTGCAGCTGTTGGGTTTTTTGTTTGTTTGTTTTTGAGACTTAAGGTATACAACATGCAGTATTTAACATGTATTGAATATCTGTTTAATCATTGTAATTCTATCACCGGTCTGCGTAAGAAAGTTTTCAAGGTACTCAGCCCAGTGTATTTCACAATACTGAATGATAATAACAGCCAAAATATACTGAATGTTCAGAGACTTGTTGAACGAAGAAGACAGCTATTTAATTACTTAGGAAAAAAAAAAAAAAAAAGTGAATTATTTTAATAGTGAAATAGAATATGGAGAAAATGAATCCCAGGTTCTCAAGACAAGTTGATGTAATATATATAGTTTGGTCATATGCTGTAAGAAGTTATGTAATGCACTGATTTGATGTGATAGCAATAGTTTAGACTAAAAAATTACTTTCTTGAGTGTGTATGTACTGTTATTGCATTTTTATTTTTTGTTTTCCAGAATATTAGAAGACTCCTTTCCCATCCCTCTCCAGCCCTTGCCAACAAATGCACCTGCATGGGCGCGTCGTCTCTGGAACTGTGAGGTGAGCTGCAAGGAATTCTGACTCAATGTCTTTTGCATCAAAATCCTATTTCATGACAGAAGTAATGTTTATGGTTATAGAAATGGCATTCAAGCTTTTGGGTGTTACGAGATTGGACCAGCACTAGTGCTACTAGTAGTGCATTTCATGTGTGAAATGTTATGGAATTCCTTTCTTTTTGGGAATGTCCGACTGTCAACAGCTCCTGAAGCCTAGATTGTGCTTCTGAAATCTCTCATGGCCATACAGTGCTGAAAAGAGCCACTGATTCCTTTTTGCATGTACAATGTTATCAAGTTCATTCATGATACAGAAAAAAAACTGTTGCCTTCTGCTGAGCAAACTGCTTTTCATTAAACTTTGTGAACTTTATATTTGGGAAAGGTTTATACCTCTTTTTCCAATTACACATCAAGAAACCATAAAATGGTCTTTTTCTCCTGTGAATTGTACAGATAATTCACCACACTAAATGGAGAATTTGCAAATCTGGTGAAACTGAAACTGTCTTTATTGCCTGTCATGGCATTTGACTTAAACAGAGCTCTCTATTTGCACGTTGTTAGATATACAGAAATGTCTCTATATGGATGGCTGGGATGATGTTAACAGCTAGAATGCATCATAAACTGTTTAAAAGGAAAGACAGGATAGGAAAGTTCTTAAGATCACCTGCCTCAGCTTCCTGCTACTATACTCTTCCTGATGAATATTTATTTTACTTTCTCTTAATACTTTTTTGAAGGAAAAATCGTGCTATTTTATTCAGTTCTTCAGATTAAAGTTTTTTCCTGTTTTGGCTACTGTAGAAATTGCAGCTATGAGGGATTTAGAAAGGCAGCTTCTTTTCCTTATCCATTTAAAATGATTTTTAACTGAATGTATAAATATTCCTCATTTTGTTCTGTCTTTTATTTCACACAAATTCTATTGTCCCGTATGTCTGCTTAGACATTCAGAGATCAGAAAATTAGTACTATTAGTTCTTCCATGGTGGAGATGCTGTTCTCACTGAGTAAAGGAGCCACTTCAGGTGGCTGGTTAGTTGTTGAACTCCAGTAAGATGTATAGTTGCTGTTACTCCAATGTGTATTTCCCCATTTTGACAGACCTGTAGCTTATTTGAGTCATTTATTGCTGGCTTCATTATGGGAGGATTTGTATTACAGTCTGCTGTATCTATCTGAGTCTTATAAGAAACTTCATCTGTTGTGCTTAAAGTTCACAGCAGCCACAGTAGTGTAAGAGTTCTTACTTTAAAGAAAAAGGCAAAGTAGTGTCTGTTTGAATGTCTGCTTGTCTGTTCTGAGGATGTAGGCATCTGTTTCTGCTGAAATATTGGCTGTATGCATTAATCCTCTCTGTTCCCTTAAAAAAGTAAGAAAATAGCTTATCACTCTTCTCCCAGCAGAATTCAGGCCGTGGAGGAGTAATCCAAATTCTCTTCCTCCTTATGTGTGCCCAGCAGAGCTGCTTTGCTGAGTTCCAGTCAGTTACACAGTCCTTATAAATCCAGTGAGAGCTGCTCAGATGCACATGTGTTTTTATGGGCACAGAGACAGTGGAGTTTTGAGGTGCTGTTTATGTTTGCTGTGGTGTCTTGCAGAACGTGTTATTACGAGTAACAGGATAGAAGTATACAAGTAACAGGATAGAGAGGTCCAAGTACAATCTGGGGATCTGGTGGAGAGAATGCTGTACCTTTAGTCCAGTCATTCTTGGTGCAGAGCAATGTGTTAACTCACAGTTGCACTTTCTCAATAATTTTTCAGGATAGAAACAACCTTAAAGTGGAGGTCTGTGTGAATTTTACAGAAGAACTCAGCAGGTGGGGCCATGTCATGGCCCAGTTACATGTTGCCCGTAGTATATCCCAGGGTGTTGCCAGGACAGGGCTCTGAAGCACAGCCAGCGCCGCAGGTGCAGGCGAACACAGAACAGTAAAAGCTGCAACTGTCCAAAACTGGCACTATGTTCTGTGCTTCAGGCTGGTTTCCTGGCTGCTTTGCAATGCTCAGTTTACACTTGCAGTGCCTAGGCAGTGTAATGCTTCTGGCATCCTGCTGCTGCTACTTCAGTTGAGAGAAACTGCAGTCTTAATGTACGTACTTCAGTGTATGTACTCTTGCTGAGTTTGAGGTCAGGGAAGAGAAAAGGAATTACTTTTTTTTTTTTTTTTTTTTTGTCACTTGAACCTTGGCTGGAGTTAAAGGGTTGAAGAGAGGTAATTACTTTGTTAACAAAAAGTAGATTAAAAAAAAAAAGGTTATAGAAAAAAAAACATCATTAAAGTTTTCAGTGGTCTGCTCAGAATGCGTTTTCAGCATGCATCAGCATACTGAAATAAGGTATAATTAAAAGTACATTAATTAATCGATGATGCAAAGCTAAATTTATTTCTTTGGAACAGATGGTCTCGTGTATCCATTAGAAGCTGCTTGGGAAGCTCCTAGGGAGTGGGGAGCCTATGTGCTATGTGATTTTCTTTCTCTACCATGCATGTTTTGGGAAGATGTTCTGTTTTGTGCAGAAGTAAAGCTAGAACAGGAGACGGGGCCCTAACTTGTAATTTCTGCATGAGTTCTATACATTTTCTCTCATCTCTCAAGAATCAAGTCAAAGACCTGTTTAGAGTGACCAGATAAGGAAGGTATGGAAAGCTACTTATGCAATATTTGCAATTCCTCCTGTGAAAGGGGATAATCCTAGGTCTCTGTAAAGATATTTCTGTATCTTTCAGATTATTTCTGTCCACTTATGTTACGTATAATCTCTGACTAAGCAATCACTAGCATTTCTTCCTCTCTGCAGCTGTGTGAATGCAGCATATGCAGATTGTTTTATGTACCAGAATGGTGTGCATGCAGCACAGTGAGCTGCTGCTGCGTGAGCAGCTGGTACCTCAGACCAACTCTTGCCACTGATGTGTGCATACCCTTATCCTACTGGGCTCGTGCCAGCAGCAGTGCTGTGCTGCCCCACTTCATTTGGAAGGGGTTTGTTTGCTCTTTGTTGACTCAGTGTCTTGTTAACCACAGACACTTTTTTGTCAAGAGGTAATATTATGCAGTTGTCACCGATATTTTTTTTTTTTTTGAGATAATAATATTAGACATCTGCTGTTGCTTTTGTTGTATGTATTAAAACACCTGTCTGCTGCATTTTTGAAAGTGGCAAAAGGGATCCATCATGTGCTAGTATTCATTCACCATGTGTCTGCCCCATGGTTATGCTGTAAGCTGGCAGACTGCTCTGGGTGTTATTGTCAGCTGCTTGGTGTCCTGATCCTGTGCTACAGGAATCAAAGTGAGAATTATGTTCTGGGTTCACATGGAGGCTCGCTGCTGCCCCAGTGCTGTCAGTGCTTGCTGAGTGGCCCTGGTGTGCCAGCACTGAGCCAAATGAGATGGGCGGCTCTGAGTAGCTGAACAGCTATTAGAAGAGGTGCTACAAAGTCAATACATTGTTTTTTGTCACTGGTTTTGTTGTCCTTCTATGGAGCTAAATCTAGATGCAGTTTTTTCTGGAGTTGCCACAGCTTAGAAGAGGTCACTGCAACTGTAGCTGTTATCCAGTGGCAAGTCTTGCATCTTGTGTTTCTATACAACTTTGAGAATTGAGAGTGCCTTGAAGCTTTAGAAGGGGGTTATATGAGATGTTCAATTCAGAGATAATGCTCTAGGTGGGTGAGGCAGTTGCTGGTATTACATACAGGTGTATTCTGCTCCAACTCAGCTCTGTGTGTCCACTGAAGCAGATACATTTTAGCAGATACATTTCCATTACAATTTTTAGCACTTCAGAGATCCTCTGTGGCATCATATGAAAATATTCACTTAAGTTGAATTTGTCGAGGAGGTGACTGCAGGTAGAAGTTGTCCTCTGTAAATCAGTGTTGTCAGTAACTCTAGTCTTTCCTGGGGTTTTTGTGTGCTTAGGATCTGATGCCAGTGGAGACTGCTCTGATGCTAGATGCGATGGTAACTGTGCTTGTGAGAGTACTAGTGTGGGGGAGAATGTACAAAACACCAAAAACCTGAGCCTGTGTCCTCACGTGCGGAGTCCCTGACCGCCTTTGCTTTCTTGGGTAATGCAGAGCAGTCAGCTGGGTGAATAACCCTATTATTTCACCTCCTTTCCATGCAGAAAATTGGGGACTCATACCGCGGCTATTGTGTGAGCGAGACAGAATTAGAGAGTGTTCTAACGCTACACAAGCAGCAAACACAAAGTGTGTGGGGGACACGCCAGTCTCCAAGCCCGGCCAAACCCGCCACACGGTTGATGTGGAAATCCCAGTATGTCCCATATGATGGGATCCCCTTTGTCAATGCAGGTAACTAACTTCTTTTGTTTTAATAACTACTTTGAAAAATCTCAACATCAGTTGCCAACTGGCCACGAAGAAGGATCCTTGTGTTGTTCCTTAGTGTCAGTAAGCTCGAGGCTTAACAAAACAGAAACCAACCAACCAACAAAAAAGTTACTTGGGATCTCTATCCACAGTGTGAAGGAGCTTGTTTTCCTTGAAACCACAAGCTTTGTTGTGAGCGTTTCTTTCTCCTTGTTGTTTAGAAATAGATAAGTACCATTTGATGGTGGTTCTTGTGAATGAGCTCTTTAGATGGAAGTTCCATCTGCTCTGCCAAGACTTGGAGTTTCTCATACGGGTGAGAGCTTGTTCCAGTATTCTTGCCTAACTTGGAGATCCTTGGAAGAATCTGTTCCAATGGGATCCAACATGGTATTTAAACACCTCCCTTTAAAACGGAAATAAAAAATAAGTTAAAAAAGCGCATCAATATTCGTCAGCAGACAATTTTTTTAAAATGAATGTGCAGGCTTTACAGATTGGTAAATACATACTTAACTCACGCAATGCATATGTGAAATTAAGTTCATTCAAATCAAATTTAATATGCTTTAATTGTCACATGTGAATGAGTGGAGCATAGGTTATATGCTTTCTTTTTTTTTCCTGAAAGTAACTGAGGAAGTGAAACATTTGCCCCAACTTTATAGCTTCAGCCAAAAATTGTGAGGTATAAGAAAGCTGAGAACGAAGCCAAAACAATCTGTACTTTTATCAGCACCCTCTCTAAATGCATTTGAAACATCTTCAATTTTCTGTAAGATCTGCTTAATAAATGCATGAGTTGAGATATTTAGAACAAAAGCATGCAGGCTATTTCTTCCTTTACATGCTGCAGACTAGTAGAGACTGATTTTTAAGTTGTAACATTTTTAACTTTGTTTAGACCCCTGTACAAGCACTATGTATACATCTAATGTGTTGTCTTTCCAATGCATTTAGGTATAGAATGGAAACCCACTATGAAGAATGTTCATTAAAAACCTTTCAGTTCTATAAAGCAGAGGCTGGAAATATGGTTTACTGAGCTGCTGTTAAATCCCAGATAACTAAATTCTAAATGGTGCAGGAGAAAAGTCTTGCTCTCAAGGAATTTACTCATTTCTGCCCAAGTGAAACTAGTCTGTAGTGCCTTTCCCACTGTGATTCTGCTTCTGTTGTGGGGAAATAAAGTAGAAGAGGAAAGGCTAGATCGTTCCCTATGTATTACAAAACAATATATAAATAAATAATCAAGATCTTGATTTTTAGATGTCTTACAAATTGTAGATAGCCGATACCTTTGTAAAAGAAGATTCAGTAGCTTTTGAGATGCATACTAGTAAGAATTAGTTTAAAGGTCTTGAAGTCTTTTCAATCTTAGGAAATTATTGTTCTGTTTTGTTGTTGTTTTTTTTTAAGGCAGAATATCTGTTTATTATACATTATATATAATATATATTATACATCTGTTTATTATGTCTCTTTTAAATTTCCCTTCTCTTCATATGCATTGATGTGTATATGTTTTTTAATAAGATCACACTCTCAGGCAGTAAATCATTGAGTGTCCAGTGGAAACACCTCATGTTGCTGTAGTGATACCTTACAAAGGTTTTGGTCGTATCATTTGCTGTATAGGCAGCTCCCTGCCTATGTACTGGAACATGTAAATTTTATGTAACAGATAATGTGATATGGGAGAGGGGCAAATTCTATACTTGACCATGCACACCTTGTTATGCTTATTAACACTTCTGTAAGTGGCATGATTGGAATAAGCCATGTATTGGAATGAGGGTAGAGTAAAGCCATCTTTGTTTAAGCCTGTCTGTGTTCATGGGAGTATGCCATACTGAGGCAGAGTTATTTAACTGATAAGGTAGGTCAGATTTGCAAGTAAGAATTTTTGGGGCTGCATGGTCTGATGTACTGATTAAAGACCTTTGCTTTTAGCTGTGAGGTTTTCTTGGTTACTTTGGAGGTTCTGTCTCTTATTTGTGTTTATTATGAATGCTGTTCTTCTTTGGTAACAAGTAAGGGTTCTTATATTGTAAAATACTTGATCAAGTCGGAACCTAATCTTTTGCCCCTATGTATCTTCCGGAGCATTGTGAGGTGTAATCACTTTAGGAAATGCTTTCAAAGTGCTCCACATTCCTCATGTGCTGTGAAAGAAGCATTTGCAGTGTATTTGAACGCTTGCTACATTTGAGCGTTCTGTTGTCTAAATAGTCTGATGTTAAACAGAAATAACTTTTTCAGAGTTTCTATCTTTTCTATATTTAATATTTTACTATAATGACTTCTGTGGTTGCTTGAATAGAGTGAATTATTTTCTGTTCCCAGGAAGCAGAGCCATTGTAATGGAGTGCCAGTATGGGCCAAGGAGAAAAGGGTTCCAGTCTAAAAAAGCTGGTGAGCAGGAAAGCACTTCTGGCTATCTATACAAAGCCACTTGTCCAGCAAGGTAAGGACTGGCTGTAAAGTTACCATCCTAAGAAAGCATGCTTCTTGTGAGCCTTGACAGCATGCAGTTCGGAGGTAGTAGCTGATATCATGCAGTGTGGTTTCTAGCTTGGTGCCCTTGATAGTTTGAGGGAAGGAGGGAATACTGTGTGGGGCTGAGACTTGACAGGTTGCTGACATGCAAGGTACCAATACATCATTACATGAACTACAAGTGGGAATCACTGGAAAATTATGAGGACATCGTATGGTGGTGTCCTTTAGTGACCATATTTGATCCTAAGACAATTCTGTCTTGTTTTTCCTTTAAGCTTTTGACTGCAATTGTATCAGTAGATCGTCTGAATTTAGCAGATCTTCTGTTTACAGAAGTTACAGTTCTTCCTGTTCACTGGGACTTCCTTCTTACTCAACTCCAGTGTTTTCTACTCTTTTTGTATCCTTGAACGCTCTCTTGGGTTTCAGTGCCACACTTAGTCCCTCTTTACAGACCTAATGGTGTGTTTATCTGGATGGATGCGGTTAGATATGTATATGTTCAGCTCACATTTTGGGCATGGAGGCAAGTCCAACATGTCCAGAAATGGCGTTGTGCTTTTACTCTACTGAGGGAAAGCAAATTTTTGCTGAGGTGCATAACTCTGGCCAAGTGACTTCCATACTGGATCAGGCATATGTGTATGAGTACTCACCTGCATCTCTTTCGCTGTTAAAAGATCTGCAGTTCTCTTAGAAGGTCCTCACCCCTTGAAGCACTGCTTGATTTCATTTTTATTTTTATTTTTGTTGTGATAGTATGTGATATGAAGTAAGTGGGAATTTTGCCTTCTCACTGAAGGAGATTCTTTCTTCTGTTTCCTCTTATTTTCCCCATGGAAGGATCTATATTAAAAAAGTTCAAAAGTTTCCGGAGTACAGAGTTCCTACTGACCCTAAAATTGACAAGAAAATCATAAGAATGGAGCAGGAAAAAGCATTCAACATGCTGAAAAAGAACTTGATAGAGGCTGGTGGTATTGTCAGGTGAATTTTGCACTTTTTTTTCTTTATATTGAGAAATGATACAAAAAGAGCAATAACTTGCTTGGTTTTCTTTATGTCCTTGATTGCTTTATTAAGTCTTATTGACATTGTGGGATTTTCTGTTAATAAGACTCATGGCTCTGGATTATTTTATTTAGTAAATGTGTTTAAATGCTGAGCTGTGGAACTTATGTTTCCATGCAGGGAATAGAAAAAATATTTTTACTACTTGGGGGTTTAACCTGGGTTATCTTGAAACACAGGGTGTGAGAGGACCATAAGCTCAGAAGAGCTGTATCTTTCAGCTCAGGAGGTCACTCTGTTTCATTTGTAATTGTCAGGCTTTTTCCTCAAACGATTTATTTTGCTGCCTTTGCTTGAGAATTATAAAAACTTTCCTCCTTGCTAGGTGGTATGTGCAGTTACCCACTCAGCAAGCCCACCAGTATCATGAAATGGAAACTTCCTGCCTTCCTTCTTCACCCTCCCATTTTTCTGCTGCTTTTCCTGAGGAGGAGGAGGACATTGGTAGAGATGAGAACTGCACTCTGCCTTCCCGCCTTCATCCCCAAGTGGCAGACAAGATCCGAGAGCTGGTGTCTCAAGGAATAGAGCAAGTCTATGCAGTGAGGAAGCAACTGAGGTACGGAGCTGTCTGTCAGTGCTCTTAGTCTGTGCTATGTGTGGTTTTGAATTTGATTAATTTGATTTGTAAGTAAATGGCATTACTGATGCATAACTGTACGTATTTCCAACATGTTATTAGAATCTCTTTCTTTTTTAGGGATTTTGTCTTCTCTTTCCATTTTATTGTAGACTACTGTTAAGAGCTGCTGTCTTCTTTAAAGTTTGTTGAGCAGATGGGTATTTTTAAATTCCAACTCCAGAGCAGATGCACAGAGAACTGGATCCAAATATCTTTTAACTTGCTCTTATATTGTCATTGCAATCTGGAGAGGGAGATGGTAGCAGCAATTGTAACAAGTAATATTTCTATGAAGACTTCCTTATAGAATCATAGAATCATAGAATCACAAGGCTGGAAATGACCTATAAGATCATCCAGTCCCACTGTCTCCTCATCACCACTGCCACCACCAGCACTACACCACATCACGCAGCACGTCGTCCAGACACCTCTTGAACACTGCCAGGGACGGCGACTCCACCACCTCCCTGGGCAGCCATTGCAGTGCCTGACCTCTCTCTGAGAGAAAAAGTTCTTCCTTATGCCTAATCTAAACCTCCTCTGATCCTCTGATACAATTTGCGGCCATTTCCCTGTGCCCTGCTCGTTGCCTGGGAGAAGAGGCCAAATCCCTCCCTTCAGGAGGTTGTACAGTGCAATGAGGTCTCCCCTGAGCCTCCTCTTCTCCAGAGTGAACAATCCCAGCTCCCTCAGCCGCTCCTTATAAGACTTGTGCTCCAGACCCCAAGTAAATAGCACAATAGATCTAAAATATGCGTATTTTCACTTTAATGTTTTTGTCCTTTAATGTGACAGAAAGTATGTGGAAAGAGAATTATTCAAACCTGATGAGGTGCCAGAGAGACATAACCTATCCTTCTTTCCCACTGTGAATGACATCAAGAACCATATTCATGAAGTGCAGAAGTCCCTGAGAAATGGTGATGTGGTATATAATTCAGAAAGCATTCCAGCGACGGTATGTTGGCCCTGGTGTTTCTTTTCAATTTTTGGAGTTTAATACTTTAAGTTTAATACTTAATTTACTTTTAGTTAAACTCTTAATTTAAGAGTTTAATACTGTAAGTCTTCTAACTTTTAGTTGCATTTCAGAATTCTCTGATGTCCTGTTTCCAGTACCAGTATTTTCAGTGGAATCTCTTGCTGATCAAAACTGATTAAAAGTGAATAAAGCCTTTTGACCATATTGAGTATTTATCTCATCAGCATTAGATGGCTATTAGTTGAGTGCAGTGCTCACATGATGACTACATGAAACTAGAAGGCATGCATCAGAGAGCTGTTAATGGCTTTATCTGGTTGCTGTAAAAGTTACTTCTACTTTTCCACATCTGAAAAGTCGGAATGAAGTCTGCCTCAGGTGCAGCCTAAATTAGCACTTGTACAGTTCGTGAGTGTACTTTCTAGCAAGTGAAGTAAGTCTGAAGTAGATACTTCAGAGTGTTGAGTAACTCTTACATGCTGTTCCTTAAATTTCTTCCACCTGTTGAGTGTGAAGAAATGTACAGTGATCCTAGTTTTTCCAGTCATTAGGTTTAAAATCAGCTTTGCCAAATTATAGTATTAAGTAGTGCTGTGTCTTTGGGGTTTTTCCATTCTCCCTAAACTATGCTGGGCTAAGGTGAGTGGGTGATATTTGTTGGCCAAATTGTGGTTTGGCAGTTTGTTGTTTTTTTGTTTTGTTTCGTTCAAAGTCTTCAAGTTTTCATAAGATGACTGTAGCCTTCTTGGTATAGTGTGTGTTTAAAAATAGTTTGCAGTATCTTTTATTTTAAACCAAGAACTTCCAACCAAGAAGTTGGAAACCTTCTCTGGAAACCAAGAAAATGCAGTTTTGTTTTTTTGTTTTTTTGTTTTTTTTAAAAAAAAAAAAAAAAAAAAGGCATAGTTTCATATACTATTTTCTTGCATGTTCTGAAATGAGCCTGTGTTTCTGCAATAGAAAAACTTTAACTCTTTCTGAGAACTGTGATCTTCTTTCAGCTACAGTGGACCACAGATGGTGGGAATGTTCTCACAGAAACAGTGACTGTTACGTTTGCCTCACCACCTTCCAATGGTAGGACTGTATTAATAACTTCAGAAATTCATTTTCTGTTCAGAGAGGTCTCTGTTGTGTTTTTGTCACTCAGTTAAATTAACAAGAATTACTTCAGAACTGTTTCTGGTTTGAGGCAGGAAAGGGCATGTTGTGTTGGGTTTTTTTGTACTGACCAAACATACAGGAAAAAAATGTGTGATCTTAATGTAGTTGACAGAATTATAAAAGCTGTAAATTTGTCTTCTACTTTGTATCCTTAAGCAACTGAAGTTTTTTGTGGGATGATTGTTTTCAAAGAGCAGTTTGCCTTGGATGGAGGTGCTGGTAACACCTGTTATTAGAGCAAATGAGATTCATATCAATCAGGGCACACAGCTGGGACCAACTGGGTGCTTGAGTTCCTTAGTGGTCTGTGCTTGGCACATGCTGACAGTACCTTGCTAAAGGGGACTCGTGCATGTTGGGATTCCTGCTTCTCAGGAATTCATTGTGAATGACTATAGTAATGTGTGAAGCCAAAATAGCATCTCTTTCAAACAATTGTTCAGCCAGGTAACAAGACCCCAGTACAAGAAAGACAAGGAACTGTTGGAGAGGGTCCAGAGGAGAGCCACAAAGATGATCGGGGGACTGGAGCACCTCCCCTACGAAGATAGGCTGAGGGATCCGGGCTTGTTCAGCCTGGAGGAAAGAAGGCTGCGGGGTGACTTCATTGCAGCCTTTCAGTACCTAAAGGGGGAGCCTACAGACGGGGGGAATCAACTCTTTGAAAGGGTTGATAACTGCAGGACAAGGGGAAATGGTTTTAAGTTGAGGGAGGGAAGATTTAGGTTGGATGTCAAGGGGAAGTTCTTTACAGAGAGAGTGGTGAGGTGCTGGAACAGGCTGCCCAGAGAGGCTGTGTATGCCCTGTCCCTGGAGGTGTTCAAGGCCAGATTGGATGGGGCCTTGGGCAGCCTGGTCTAGTATTGAATGGGGAGGTTGGTGGCCCTGCATGTGGCAGGGGGGTTGGAGATTCATGATCACTGAGGTCCCTTCCAACCCTGGCCATTCTGTGATTCTGTGACTTCCTCTCATTTCACTGCAAAAGCTGTGTGGATTTATATAGAAATTTATTTTATCTATATATTTTAGGTTTATTTTAGGTACGCTATGCTTCCTTTGTAGCAAGTGCTACTCCAACTTCAAAACATTTAGTAAAACAAATAAGGGTGTTTGTAAATAAATCTAAATGCCACCCATGTAGTTAGGATTGCACGTAGGTTGAAGTGCTCCATTGGATCATGGAGTCTGATAGTAAATTTAAAAAGAGGTTATTTTCTCCATTTTACCTAGATTTGAAGTATATTTCTGTTTCAAGGATATTTTGCCCAGTGTGGCATGAAAGAACTTCCCTGGATGTTTGTGGATGCTTTTCCCATCTGTTGTTTAACAAAGATATGTTAAGAGACTCATTAGAGAATTTGATGGCTTTAGCAGGAATGTGACTGCAGCAAGGTGGATGAACCTAATTATCTCCACACATTCCATTAAGAAATTTGCAGCATTATCTTAATGTTGTTAATCTCAGTAGCGCTGCTGGCTTGTTTTCTCATTTATCTGGAATGTGGTGTTTATTTTTCCAGACAGCTGGTAGAGAGTTCTATGGGAATCAAAGGTGCGCTGCCACAGTTGTCATAATTAAAGATCTGTCTAAGTCAGAACTTAGCCTCCTCTGTGGTTTCTTGCCTGAAGAAATGTAGATATGTTTGGAATTCTTTCCTCTTTGGCCCTCTTCACTTCCTGATCTGTATTTTTTTAAACCCCCTTGAAGTCTAGCTCACTGGGCAGTTTCTCTCTTGAGCAATATTGTGTACACCAGTGCATTAGTAATTAGTAATAAAGCTAAAGTTGGGCTTCTGTTTTGTTTCTGAACTCTTTTTATAGTCTTTGTTACAAAAATTGAACAGAGAAGTGTCCTGTACACTTATACTCTTAAGGCAAGAAATTCAGTGTCGACAACTATCAGAGTATGAAAGGTAAATTTTTAGGCTCAATTTGAATGTTTTGTTTTGTTTTTTAAGGAAGTCTTGTTTTTTAGAAAAGGAGTTTGCAATTTGCAATATAAACAGACTTACTGTGTTTAAGCTTGCACTCCTGTGCTAATATTTCCATTAGTGTGCTTTTATGGAGAGAAACAAAATGGTGATTCCAACAGCTGAGCAGGGCAAATTTGGTACAAACTATCTGAATGCTGATGAAAGTTCAGGAAGATCAGTTCTTGTCATCTTTCACAGATATCTGATAGACTAACTTGCCTTGAAAAATGATGTAAACATCCATTCAGACAGGTTCTGACTTTAGAGGAGGTTACAGTGTTGGATGTGTTTGGCCTTCTGCACGTGTGCACCAATTCAGTGAATGTAAGCAGATAATCTAACTCCAGCATATCTTGTCTCAAATTTATGTGAGGATGAGTCCACACACACTGCAAACACAATTATAATAAATGTCTACATGAAAAAAAGAAGCCCACTTTGAAGAAATCAGTACTTGCTCAAGAATATTAAAATGTAGCAAGGGAAAAACAGTACTGACTTCTCAAACTGCTGTTTGTGTAGGTATTGTTCTTTATTTCAACTTGTGTAAATTTGTTCATGTACAGCACCGAAGAAACCAGCAGTAACAGAATTAAACCCCAGATGTTTGTTTCATTTTCTGTGCAGAAGTCCATGCCTCTGACTAGAATTCTAGGCATATGAGGAATATCCTTCATCAGAGAATACTGTTTTTTGTCTCTTTACTACTAAGTGTAAGAATCGCTGTCAGAATTCCTAAGTCTGTTTCCTTTTGCATCTCTCATGAAGTATGCTGACAAGTGGACTAGAATACCATGGATGTGTTTAACTTCTGGCATTCATACTAAATATCCATGCAGTGTAAGGACTGGGTAGAATTGGATTTGATCTGTTAGATTCGTACCTAGGCTTATCGTGTAGAGTACATTCTCAGAAGAGAACTGCCTTCTCTTCCTACATGTGAATATTCACATATTCATATGGGATCTCTGTATAATATTAAAAAACACCAAGTCTTTGGAGTGGTTGTATTCAATAAGACTTAGACTGTATGTTATTGTCAGTTAGGATAAAGAAAGTGAGCTTACAATTCATTATGTATGATGAGGAACATATTGCTTAGCTGCTTAGATTGCTTAGAGAAACAAGTTGCTTAGATGGATGGAAGCTTTGTGTGTTTTTTTTTCTATTTTTTTCTAGAGAGCGTTTTGAAACTTGATTCTGACTTTTTCCCATTTTGTGGATTAATGCACGTGCACATGGCAATCTCTTCTTTCATAGTTACAGCAGTAAAACTGCAAAGCAGAAATTAGAGCAGTAATGTAATTGTGCCTGTATACATCTTAGCCAAAAAGTCCTGGGTATCTCAAACAGGAATGGAATAATCCTACTGGAATTGCTTTTGCAGAAATTGTGGCAAGTCTTGATTTCCCCAAGTCTTAAGGAAATAAAGACAATTATTTTTGCTGTAAGTAAGGATTTGAGAATACAATGCAATCTCTAGGCATCAGATAAATGGGCTTTCTTTAAAATTACACCTGATGTGTGTATACTGCATAGAAGTTTTCCTAATTGTACAAATATGCTTTGGAATGAATGAGAAGAATTGCTGGATTTTCTGTGTATGTTTCTATTTGGAATCCAACCTTTTAATGCTTGCCTGTTATTGAGCCCTTACTGAAGGTGCCTGTGTGGTCACATTATAAGATTGCTGTTTTGATAGAAATGTTTCAACTTTTATTTTAGAATTAGGAATACAACACAGAGAGTAGGGAGCAATTATGTTGCTGTCCAGAATACTTCTTTTTCATTTGCAATAGTTAGCACATCTTCTTATGATGTCTTCCTATGATGTTTTTTTCTTGTAACAAACTTTTTTTTTTTTTCCTTTATTATCCAAGCTCTTCTGCAAAAGAGAAGAGCGTGTGTGTGTAGACATGTCTTAACTACATCCATATTGAGATTGAAGGGGCCTGGCTTGTTCCATTCACAGGGGAGGCTTTTAAACAAGGAAGAAACAGTTCTAACAGTCTGCTTACTGTCTGTGGTACTGCAGGAAGCTCACCAGGGGAGTCAGTCATCACCAAAGCAGAATCCAACCAGAGCGCAGAGACCCTGCTATCAGAAAAAGCTCAGCTGTTGTCTTCTCTCTCTTCACTTCAGCCCAAGATATTTGCACAATTTCAGGTATGGTCAAGTTTTTTAGAGAATGTCAGGTGTTCTTCGTTGGGAGAACTGAAGGAAGCTATAAATATGAAGTTTCCTCTCAACTACTGATCCCAAACACTGGCTGTGAGGGAATGTGGACTTAGAAATAGCTCTCAAGTCCTACTTTGGCCTCTCTTATATTGCACAACTGGCATCTAGCTGTAGTGCAGGAGATTCCTCTGCTTTGTGGCCTCTTTGTGAAGGCAAAACCAAGAAGGTGTGGGAAGTGAGTTTCTGCCTCAAATCAATCACCTTAATAATTTCACACACTTTCCAGTCATTTCATGATGACAATGCTGCAAAGTTGAGGAAGGATATGTCAATCATATTCCTTTTAAATCTTTCTCCAGCCTCGTAAGGGAAAATCTGTTAAAATCCTGAAACTGTTCCCAGATCAGAAATGTAAGACTTCCAGATTGAAAAGGTGAGGTGCAGGGCTAAGTGTACCATGCTTAAGGAGTTTCTTCTGAAGTTCATGTTGCTTCAAACCTGTCTTTCTTAACTGTCTTTCCTAAGCTATCCTTGTATCTCCTGAACGTCATAATCTCTTCTGTAGAGATACAACCTGCAGTGAAATGCTCTTCTTCTTGCTGTTTGCTTCTCTTGCTGAAGGTAGCCACCTTGGCTTCACACCCCACAATCCTTTAAACCAGTATACTTAGGTTTTAGTGCGTATCCCTTATGGGAATAAACATGTATTGAGGAAGGATTTGAAACTCGATATCTGTCCAAAATTAGATTTTTGTGGTCCTTAGTAGTTTTCTACATGCTGCTGGACACCACTGTCTGCTATGTTTCCTGAAACAAGTATAATCTGCAGATGCTGAAGTTGACTCTTCAAAAGAGATGATGTATAGAAGGTCAGAACCTATCCAGTTCCAGCACTGCAAAATGTGTTATTCAAATAGAAATCTCTTCTGCTTTAAATGCTATTATATTTGTACTTCTGCTTTCTCTTTTGCAGGGATTACAGATGCAATCAAACTTTACCTCCACAAATGGGTCAACAGCCCTGATAGCTGTGAATAACCATTCCCATTCCAATTCTGCAAATCTCTTGGATTCCATAGAGAGTGCAGTAACCAACCATCCTCCAGTACTTGGTCAGGGGCACAGTCTGCAAAAAGGTGCTGGCCTAGCACAGCACAGTGCTGCTGCCTCTGCTTTTGGGACTCCTCCTGCCACTGATCAGAATCTGGTCACCATGGGCCACCTGGTAGCACTTGACAGGGAAGGGGACTCCAGAAGCCTAGAAGGAGGAATCCAGCAAGTTCTCTTGGGAGATGTGCAGACTATTCCAGTACAGATTGTGGAAAGCCAGCCTGCACTTCGTAAGTTGCACTCTTCCCAATACATGTACATATAGAAAATACATTGGATTTTGTTCTGTGTGTCCTAAAACAAAGTAGATAAATGTGCTGATTAAGGGGAGCTCCAGTATAGGTTTGTTCCAGCTGATTCTAATTAATATTTACTGTAAGACCACAACAGCTGTAAAATGTATTTATGTAATTTTTGCTATAAAAATAGAGACTTAATTGAACTACTTGCAATCACTTTCACTGACAAAATACCAGCTTGTTAAGTTGTTTTGCTCCAAATCCCAACATTTAGCTAAAATGCTCATCTTCAAATTTTGTTAGGAGAAGTAAGCGTGTAAAGTAACAAATACTGAGTTTGGTTAGGAGTCTTTTATAAATAATTTTTTTTCAGGTCTTTTAAATCATCATTAGGTTATTTCTGTGTGGCAGTATTGTCAAAGTTAAATGTAAGAGTTCTTCTCTTGGCTGTATTTTTTTTGTAGCTTGTCTTCTTCCTTGTTATAATAGGATTTCACTGTTCTGATGAGAAACTTTTCCTTCTGGGTAAAGGTTATTTAAGAGAGGCTATCAAATATACCTCTCACTCAGTCGTTTAGCCCATTTGTGCAATCAAGATGTAGATGCCTTTCAAATAATAGTTAATATTTAATATACATTTTTAAATACTAGTTTACATACAAAAATTTAGCCAAATATAAAATTTAAATCATACAACTGGAGGAACTGCACTCGCTGTTCGTCTGGGATTTCTTTTTAATTCTGCTCCAGATCTTAAACTGTCATCACCATCTGGATTTGGAAATTGTGAGGATATCTGTGCCTTTCCTAAGTTAGGTGGAAGCCTTGCTCATAAAATACACCAATCCTCCTCTTTGCTGTTGCAGAGTCCAGATTTCTTTGTCTGAAGATTGGGAGGACACAAACAAGTCTGTATTGATGAGGAATTAATGTTACAGAGCTGATTTGGATGAAACACTCACCAGTTCAGTCAGTGATTATTTCAAGATGCTTTTCTCCCCGTGTGTATACATGCACTTAGTTGAAGTTATTTTGTATTTTCTAGCCTTTCTCTTATCTAAAGTGGTAGCTTAAGAATAAGCTATTTCCTGATGAGAACGTACGTGCAGTCATTGAACAGAGGCCAATCGTGCTGAAGTTTAGGTCATTTTTAAATCAACATATTTTATTGTTTGTTTGGTAAGCAACAATGTGTCTTTTTCTTTTAAATGCATACAGTTATTGGAGCTGAAGTGTTATCGGTGCTATTTGGACTTTAATGTTTTGTTTTGTTCTGTTTTAAGATGAAAATAATACAGAGGCTGGTATCTGTATGAGCCAAGTTAAACAAGAGCCAAGAGAAAAAGCGCTGTCTGTGGAGCCGGATAAAATCAGAGACTGCCAGAGATCCTCCTCTGTTTAAATCTGTGAAGACTGTAAGGATTTTTCAAGTCAGAGGACTCTAAATGCCTTGGGAAGAAAGGCAGGTACTCTTAAAATAATGCCATTCTTTTTAAATGGTACTGTGACATTCAGACTGGGCATATTTTAAATAGTTCTGACAGACAACTATTTTGATTTACAACTGATGTGACTCACTGCCAATTCCAAATCTGTTCACTTACCAGGTGAAACAACTCTTCTCTCTTCCATTTTATGTTTTGAATAATTTGAATGCTATCCAAATGGTCCATTTTGGTCAGCATTTCTAAAGGTCTTCCACAGTTAGTGTTAGAAAGTGGATTAAAATGCTTGATTTGCTTTTCTCCTTGAGATCACGAACTGTTACAGCGCTACGCAGTCCACAGAATCTGCCAGCTCCCAGACTCTGGATTCCAACAACAAAGTTCATGAACACAATAGTTTTGTGACAAAACAAAGGTCTAATAGACTACATTTCTACGTGGTGAAGGACATGGATGCTTAAGAAAATGCAGCTTTGACCTGATCATGTTAGTGGTGTGAGGATCAAGGAGAGAAGAAAGGTGAGGATGCCAGGTGAACTTAGTTGGATGATGAAGAAACATCTGTGAATTGTAACAATGAATGTTTTCAGCTTATGATGTCTTTAACCCTGTTCTAGCTTTGTAATCATAGAATCATTAAGGTTGGAAAAGTCCTCTAAGATCAACAAGTCCGATCATCAACTAAACCACGTACCTAAGTGCCACATCTGTGTTGCCACTTGCAGTCTTTGCAGTGGTATTGTAGCAATAGTTGGTTGTTACATCTAAAAGTAGTCTTGGTTTTTTTGTTTTAGAAAAAAAAAAAAGAAAAATTGATGCTGCAGTTTCAGCTTCTCTACCTTTTGCTTTATGCACTTAAATTATATTTGTGAGTCTATCTTAACTTGCTGCTGTTCATGATTGTGAGGCTTACATATACATTACTAACAGAGAGGCCCAAGAGAACAAAGCAAGTAATATAAATCCAAGCAATATGTTCTGTCACCGTAACATTCAGGAAACAAACTTGTTTTTCTTTTCTGCAATAGCAGCTTCTAGGACTGAACTGGTCTGAAGTACTTAAAAGAGTTACCAGGAAGTTTCATCAAACTGAATATGGTTGAGTAGTACCTTTTGGCAACATTTAAGCCAAAGTCATAATAAGAGACAGAAGTTGAATTGCGTGATCCGTGATAGATAACTTTCTTTTAATAACAACAGCAACAAAAAAAAGGAATCTATTTAAAGCAGTAAGTGAAACGAAACTGATGCCAATGTAGGTATCAAGTTAAACAGTGGCATTGGTTTTTCAGACATTGAATTTTTAGAGTAGCATCTAAAATATTTTGTGTATAGCAGTACCAGTAGTTCCTTTTGAATTGTTTAAGAAACTGATCACAGAATTAGATATTTTTCTGCAGAAGGCAGAAGGCTTTCTCTTCTCCACTCTAAAAAAGCAATTAAAAAAATGTGGACTTATGCTGAGAGAAAATGTTAGGAATATTGTGTGTATATATATGAACATAAAGATTAATGTTTTGAAATTACTACATTTATTAATATGCATTCAAGGCATTCACAAACCTTGTTTGAACAGTGGCCATTTAAAACTGATTTTTAACTTTCTGTCTTTAAAGCTAAAACTTTGGTAAGTCGCTGGTTGAAATTGGGTTCCTAATACCTCTGTAAGCAGCATCTGTTAGATAGTTATGTTGTAGTCTTAACATAAACATGTATTGACTTCTGTGAGGTTAATTAACTATTGCTGTTAATACTGTTAATTTTAAGGTTAATGTTTATGGATTAGCTTAAATCTGAACTTTCCAACAGATGATAAATACTAAGAGCCAGTGTTTCATCATGCAAGTGCATAGAGAATCTTCAGATGTTTGGAGTGTCTGATACTTGTTTCTACATGGACTTGTTTTGTGGTATGCCTTACTCATTTCTGGGTAGGTAAATCCTGTGAGATTCACCCTTGTGGTGGTGGTGGGTTTTTTTTCCTGTTAATTGTGAAAGTATGTCCAGAATGGATGTTCTCTGCTGCACTCAGCGTTCTGGAGGCAGTAGTCATCTTTTCAAATGTAGTTGTTATATACCAGGATGGGTACCTTATTCCACACTGCTCAGTGATTCCACCACCATCTGTTTGTCTTAAATTAATATATTCCAAAGTATATTGCCTTTTTCCACTTCTTCCACAGAATTTTTTTTGCCTTGTTATATTTATTTTCCTCTTTAAGAATCCCTTCTCATTTTTGAAAGTGCTTATTCTCAAAACAAGTTACAGCTAACCAGCAATAGGTTATTTCAGTTTTGGTTGGTTTATTTGTTTGTTTTCAAAGGAATCAATGTGCTTATGGCCAGTGTAAAAACTTGAGGAAAGAAGTTTTATTTCCAGTGGTTCTTGCTTTAGTTCTCTCATCAACAGATTTATTTTTTAATTGGCTTAGTTCTTCCTACCAGTAGCTACAAGCTAATCCTGTGCTGAACAATGTTTCTGAGGGTACTTCTATTTTTTGTTTAGTGTTCATAGCGTATGGAAATTTTGTAATCTGTTTCGAGTTACAGGCCATAAAGTTATTCTTTATAATTGATCCTGATTTCCATGATACCTTGAAAACAACAGAAGAAAAGGTTGGGAGAAATTTGAAGATGATGTAGACTGTGCAAAAGCTGGGTATGAAAGTGGCAATTCTGTTCCTAGGAAAATTTTGTTTGAAATGCTTCGGTCAATAGTTTCCTTCACTTTCACAGAATTCCACTTCATCTTCCACATGTGTATTCCAGTTTATTACTGAGTTGCCTTTTAAGTTTGTTTCCTGTTTGAAAGGTATGTTTACTCTTGCTTTGTGTGTGTTGCTGATGGAGAGCACGGGCCGATCACACGTTTAAGCATCTGTATTCAGATGAACAACTTAGTTCACTAATGTCCACTTAAAACTTACAGGAAAAAAATCTCACGCGTACAGGAAAAAAATTACAGGTAAACAATGGCACTTTCAATGCACTTCAGTTTGTTTGAATAGAATACTCAAGATTGTTTTTTGTTTGTTTTCCTGAGAAAGCTGTGTAGCTTGGTGCACAGTAGTTGGTTGTGGGGTTAAGTTGGATTTGCAAATGTTTTTCTGATGTTTACTTTGTTTTCTTGTGACTGTTATGGTTCAAGTGTTTGTTTTGCAAACATAGAAATCCTGAGCTTCCATGGCATTGTAAATGAGCAAATTCTTTTCCAATTTACTCTCATTCTTGGTTGCTGTAATGGTGGTTGGTTGGCTTTACAAGAAGAGCTGTGCTTATATATATGCATGCAAAAAAGTCTTTTGCAAAAGCGTAGAAAAGACACCAGAAGGCACATATCTATAGCTCTTACCCAGAATGGCATCCTTTTGGATGGAAACCAGTGGTGTTAATGAGTGCACAGGTTTGTTTCTTTTTGCAGTGTTCAAACCCCAAATTTGCTTGTGTGGTATAAAGATTGTTGCAGCTTATACAAAATTTAGAGCCACAAATGTCTGTATATGTATGTATATATATATATATTTATATAGTAATTTAATGTATAGTACTTCTATTCAAATGTAAACTACTTTCTCTTTAAAAAAGTGGTCTATGTTGTGATTATGGGTATTCATGGGGAGAAATACAAGAGTTACAAGGGCAGTGGTCACTGTGTAGTAATGAGAACAAGCAGGACAAGTCCAGGGAGACTTGATAGAAGGAAGAAAGTCCTACACGTATGAAAGGAGACGTCCCTGTGAGGAGGGCTGAGCTGGAGGGAGCTCCTGGCCCTGGAAAGGGTTTGCAAGCCCGTCACAAAGGTTCAGTGCAGATCCAGTTTCTGGGGTAGTAGAGTGATGGAGGGCTGAGTTCATGGGGAAGATACACACGTGTGAGAGAAAAAGCCTGTCTTGTCCTTAGAACCAACAGCTGCTTAAGTTTTGGGGAGTACCAAAGGCAATTAAAAATCTTCTCCTAGTCTGATGAAGAAACAGCTCTTAGGGTTTAAACCCAGGAGATGCCTCTTCTTTACACATTACCAAGGAAAATGCCTTTTCTTCCCATCTAAATTAACTTGGTGCTCCCCTCATCCCTCTGACTGCTGCCCTGTCTACCTCAAATACACTCCAACCAAACCTCTCCTCACATTTATTAGGGCTTCGATCCAAGTCCTCTGTCCTGTTTCGTCATTATGTTGTTGAAAGTAATTAATGACTTCACTGCATGAGTAAAGGTTTGCTTATGTCAGTTTTTCATTGTCTCCTTTGGATTCTAAGTTCATGTATTCCTTTAATTATTTTTTATCCTTGCTTTGTGACTAATCATCCATTTTGGTATGGATAGTAGCTGGCTGTTCATTTGAGTTTGCTGTTGGCAAACTTAGAATATGCTCCTGTACACCTGTTCAAACAGATGTGTTCTTAGGTTAGGTAGAAGGAATCTGGGATAGGAAGTACAGTGTAGCTGAGGATGAGGCTTTGGAAAGGCACTACTCTTCATGGAACACTGAGAAGATTCTTCCTGGTCTACCCTTCCCTGCCAAGCAAACTTTCCTATGAGTAAACATGTGAACCTGTTCCATTCATGATGATAATATCAATACAACCCATTAGTGGATGAAAAAGGCACATATAAAACACACTGTGTTGCTTTTTTAGGTCAGAAGCTATCCAGCAGGTCTATCCAACAAGCACCAACTAAGGTATGATTTGTGGGAAGAGAGGGAAGGCAAAAATTGTATCACATGACAGGAGTGTGGGTGGGTTGGTTTTCTAGAGCTAGATGTTGCATCTTACTATCATTCCATTTGTAACCCATCTAACAAATTACATGTTTATTTTTTAAAGTGATTTGATGTGTTTTCTGAGGAGTCTTCAAAGGAATTATAATAACAGTAATACTTTATCACAGGGGGTATTAGTAGGTGTTTGCCATATAGGGTCACATCCTGTTCTAGTACAGTAAGAGGTTAAAAATCCTTGAAAGCTTTCTGACATCAAGTACTAAGTGTTCTTCTCCCAAGGGGTCTTCCCTGTCTAGAAAATTAAGTGCATTGGGTGCTGCAGCAGTAAAACCTCACTAATCAGCTGTCCACTAATCTATACTAGATAGAAAAAACCTTGCAAAAGGCATGTATATGACAACTTGAGCAAAACATTTTCCATACTGGGGTTTTAATTAATATATGCACATGGATTTGTATACATTAAAGAAACTAAAAACATTGAGAAGCTTGTGTGGTTGACTAATACAGTTCTAGTTACGCTTGACTGTAGTTAAATGATGCATGTATTTTAGGGAGCATATAATCAGGCCCTTTATGTAGATAACTGAAATTCATGTTTTTACTACTATCATTCTTAGCAATCTACAGTGCAGTTCACTTAGTAATGTGCTGGCTCTTGTTAATGACTCTCTGTTCCATCAAGAACTTGCTGCTCAAAACAAATTAGGTTTCTTGCTCTTCCTTCTCATTTTTCTAGTAGAGATTGTTAAGGATGAAAATCTTTTTGTAGTATGGTTATTTGTAAGTATTGAGTTTTGTGTTCTCAGTGTGAAGGAACTTGAAAGCAAACATTAGCATACTATTGGATCTGCTGTTCGGTTATTTTTATAATACACTCAGCTTCCTGCAGCATCACGGAGTCGATAGAGCATGAGTAACATTCAAATGTTATCAATATTTCACGTCTGTTCTTTGTTTAAATTTTGTATTCGGTGGTTCCAGCGGAGATCTGGGACTTTGCTTCTAGTCTTTGTAGAATAGTCTGCCTCTACATATTGTTTAAAATGTAATCAGGACAATCAAGTGGCGAAGGAGGGATGGAAACAGAGCCCTGTGTGTCAGGGGAGATCAGTGGGAGAGAGAGAAGTGCAGCCCCATATACAGGTCAGTGTGTTTAGAGTATGCACAAGAAAAAGCACAGCAGTTGTAGAGCCAAACACACACTGGAGTGGGGATGGAAATAAATGATGTCAGAATCCTTGTTCTCACCACCTTCCGCATCACAAGAGGGTACCTCCTTTGCATTTGCATTATCTGACCTGTCACCTAACAGCATGTCAGTGACAACATCTGTGAACTAGAGTTTGTTCATGAATGACTGGGTCACATCAAGTCTAGAGATGGGTAAATTGTAAAACAAATTTTCTTTGCACTTGGAGTTGATACTATATTATTACATTAGCGAAACCAATGATATCACAAATGGCCAGTTCTCAAGAAAAAGAGAAAGAAGAGAAAGCCTTTAACTGAATTTGGTTACTCAAATTTGTGGCCTAACTGAGCTAGGGACTAACTCTGAGGCTGTGCGTGTATCCTGCAGTACTTCTTAAGCAGAAGAAATCTTTTTTTTTTTTTTTTTTTTCCCAACTCCAAGAATGTCAGCTGCATTTGTGATCTCAGTGGCTGTAGAGCTCATTTTTATCTCTTCAAGCATAGCTTGTGGAATTCTGTTTTCCACCATCAGGGGAAATGGAAGTCAACTTGTATTAAAACATGATGGACAGTGTCCGTGCTGAGTGAACTGACAGCATGTAGGACAGCCACACTCAAACATGCTGTATTTAAGCTGTGTTAGGAATGGGAGCTGAGAGAAAGAATAAGCAATCAAAGAGTATAATGTTAAAAGCAAGCATCCTTGCTTCTCATAGTGTACCGTTTTTTATAAACAACATGAGGAGAAATACTGGTCAGACCTTGAACTCCTTCATCACCAGCCCTCTCTCCACAAGAAAAAGAAAAAATACCTACTCTTAAAGTTCAACAGTGGGTTTGCTGATTAGTCAGAAATCTTCCTGGAAATTAGTTTCTATCCTAGATCTGAGTGTCCATTTTTTATTTCCTGAAGAACTATTGTAAAAAATCAGTTCTACTTTACTGAGGTGCTGTTCTTTCAGAGATAAATGTAACCGTTTCTCAGATATTTCTTTTAAAACTAAAATTAAGTGAGAGAGCGAAAAATTAGAAATTCTGTATTTCTTACAAATGACACTCCAGTTTTCTGAAGAGTGCAGGTGCTTCCTCCTTGTCTCCTACTTTCATCTCTTAGTTCACTAGTTGTCGGATGTTTTCTTAGGATTGCTTACCTCTGAGAGTGCTCCAGATAAAACCAGCAAGAATCCAGAAGTTTGTACAAAGCTGCTTGCAGGAGATTGAAGGCTATCAAAGATGGAGCTCAGGATTGCAGTTTCTTCTGACTGAAGTGGTTCACTTTGAATGGTAAACATTTTTATGGTAAGCAGTTGTTTATAGCTGATCTTAGTGCTATTTATGCTATGAGCTCACATGTAGTAAAAGCTAGAACGATAACCATGTATATTTGCTTTATCTTCAGTGTGGTAGTTATCTTCTGAATGCAAGCTGGTATAACATCTGTCTTCTTAATTGTTGACAAAGCTGCTACTGCATCTGAGTTTTTGTATGTGGAAGGAGATGGAGGAAGGTGAGAACTGCTTGACTTCCTACTGAGAAGAGATCATCTGAGGAATGAGGGCTTTACTAGTTTTAAAAGTGCATGGTGAGGTGGAAGGTTTTGCATTAATTGGCATTTCTTTCTCACTATCCAAATCTATTTTAACTGGCAATAAATTAAATTGATTTTCCCCAAGTTGAATCTGTTTTGCTCATGACTTTAAATGATAAGCGATCTCCCTGTCTTTGAATCTATGGCTTTTTCAGCCTGTTTCTGTGCCTGTTGAGAGGGGATG